ATGGTCCTAGGGACCTCCGCTCCTAGACTGAAAAGTTAATCACTCCCCTCCTTGCTATAAAACGTCTACCTTTACATTTCCAACCCTCACAATCAATCCTGATAACAATTATTCACTATTGTATCACAAGAGACCCGTCTGCATTTCATTGCATCAGCCCCACCTAGTCAGATTGAATACTACTCACCGGAGATTCTACCTTCCTCCAGGCCCTCTGGATCTAGGTTCCCTCTTCCATTAACTTTTTGAAGCTCCCTCGTACATGGCACCAGTTATGAATCAGAAGCAACTCACCTACAGCTATTTTTTGTTGTTTGTTTTAATTATAATTAAAGACCCATCCTTGGTGACTTTTATACCATTCCAGTCTTTGTCCACAAATTTTCATCTCCTGCAGTCTGGTGTTTAGGTGGCAAAAAGGAGAGTCAACATAGTATTTTGTCCTTTAACTAACCAATTTAAGTAAAGTACATCTTAGCAGCAGACAGTATATGAGTTTGATTTTTCTTTTATGTTAGTATGTTAGAACTAGAGTACCCTAACAATATTTAAAGGCTAAGCAAGAATCAGTCTGTCATCTTCCCTTTTAGTTGTAAGCACATTGAGACTATTAATTAACGGTGTTAACTTCTGGTATCACGAGAAGAAATTTGCTTATTTTTTTGAAAGGTTACTCCTATTGCTCAGATCTTAGCTAAATAGCTTACAAGTAAGTTAATTTTGTCTACATTGAATTTGCCTTAGCTGTTGACCTTGATCCCATAAACGAATATGGGACTCTTCAGTACATCACTGTTTTGTATGTCTCTGGAAAACACTGCTGTGCAATGCTGCATTTATATTTGTCAGCTAAATACAAAGCTATGGATTAATTGTTTATTACGGTCATAATAAGAAAAATGAAGAAAAATAACTAGAGCAAGCCAACAGAAATCTGGAGACTGGAGAATACAGTTGGCACAGCTTCTGGGAGTTGGGGAAGACAGCATTCAAGACGATCCCATTGGGCACAGGGTTGAAATTCACTTGTGCCCTTATGTCAACTAAAATTTTAGGGAGCTATACCTGCTTACATAATACTCTCGGATTTAAAAAGCCACATACATAAGGTAAAATTAATCTGGCCATGTTACATTTCATCTAATTAAGTAGACAATATATCATCATTAAATTGTTAAATATGGGCAAAACCAGTGATTATTAAGAGCTTCCGATACATGAAGCATATTAAAAAATACACAGAAGTCCTCCCTATTTGTGGTTATGGAAGAGTGCCATTTAAATGTCCATTTTAGGTCATTAAAAAACAAGCAAACAAAGCGAATTCCGTAGTCAGTTCCAACTCAGGACAACCCCATGTGTTTCAGAGTAGAAATGCACATAGGTTTCTCAAAGGCTGGATTCAAACTGCCATTCTTCCAGTTTGTAGTTGTGTAATTAACCTCTTGTACCTAGAGATTCATTAGAGTATGTTAAGTTTCCTTAAATGGTAAAGCTATGAAACAATGATCTTTGTGCATATTACCTAGCTGACAAGTCTGTTGAATTAGCACCCCTCAGATACATGAATAAGTCCTGGTATGATGCTGTAGGATAAGTTCTAAACTGCTAATTGCAAGGCCAGACGTTCAAACTCACAAATCACTCCTTGAAACCTTATACAGGGTTGCCATGAGTTGGAAATGACTCGACAATGCTTAACAACAACAAGAAGACAAACTAGATAAAAGAAAGAGCTTCCATGTTCCCCACTCCGCCCTATGAAGCTAATTTCCCCCACTCAGTGTAATGAAGCTGAGAAGTCTCTTAGTGTGAAAGCCTCTCTTCTTTTTATGAAAGATAGGAAATGTTTCCTGCCTTTTGTTTGCAGATGCATTGCTTTTAAGTCTCCAAAGGGTTTAAGAAATGTATGCTTACATTGAAAAACTCAAGAGATCTCACATGCATTCCAGATTTCATGTAATAACCCAGAAAATCAAAGGAGCTTACCCAGTAGGCTGGAAGTTTTGCATGAGTACAGCTGATAACCTTTTCATTGACTCTGACATCCAGTCTAGTTGACTAGCCCCAGCCCTGTCCTGTCACCTCACCTCTGTGACATCAGCTATTTATCTGAAACCACCACACCACAACTGCAAGTGCCTTTGCCTCACACCATGTAATTTCTTTGATGGTACCCCTTAGGTGTCATTTACTTACACAGCTTAATACTAATGGTGTAATCGTTAAACACTTAGATGCTCACTGTAAGGTTGGCAATTTGAACCTACCAATAGCTCTGGGGGAGAAAGATGTCACAGTCAGTTTCTGTAAAGATCACAGCCTTGGACACCTTTTGAGACAGTTCTGCTTTGTCTTACACAGTCTCTGTGAGTCAGAATATACTCAAGGAAACCCAATGACAACAATATGCAATACAGTCTTTTTTGTGCTCAGCAATAAATGCATTTGAGATGGAAATTTACTTCAGAAATGAAGCAAGGTTGTAGTGGAAACCAGTTTGGGTGTGTGGCTGCTGAGGGATTTTGTAAGCTCCAGAGCTTTGGGGGTCCTGGAAGAACAAGATGGCTTTTTCTAGGGAAGTAAGAGCTTTCTAGGTTATGGGTAGCTTCAATGTCATATTGAACTGTCTGGTTTCTCTAGTTTTCATTTTGACACTCAAAGCCTCTTCAGAATTCCACATTCAAGGCCCTGCTGTGTAGAAGGTGATGTTCTGGGCTCTGAGCACACTCTGTAAACTAGAATCATCTATTCCATAGATTCTCAGTGGAGCAATATTCCCCCAAGAAGGTAAAAATCAGTTCTTGAGAAATAAAATGTCTTAGATTTACAATGTTCTGTGACCCTTCAAAAGGACACAGTATATTCATAGATAACGCAGTATTTTTGTGGTATTGGAATTTG